GTAGACTGTTAATACATAGCTATAACTTGTAGTACTTTTTCAGCCTTTTCCCATATTTTAACGAACCCCGACTAATCAATTCTTGAAACTCTGTTTGGTCTTACCTTTCATCTAGCAAGAACACTTTATTTTCACTATACATTGTATGAACAATTATGTATAGAGCTAAGAGATTGGAGGGGGAAGACTTCCAGTGGGATAGAACACAGGAAAATGACTTAACCAACTGCTTTTCTAATTGATTATTGCATATTATATATACAATATACAGTATACAATATATATAATATAATATAATATAATATAATATAATATAATATAATATAATTAATATAATTAATATAATTAATATAATTAATATAATTAATATAATATAAAATATTATACATTATGTATTATATATTATATATTATAATATAATAATATATATGTTATATATTTATTATATATTATATGATAATGTTTGATAGATATACTAATTAACTAACCTTTTAAAAATTGAAAAATTATGGTATATCATGTGTACATATCACCATATTGTGCACCTCAAAGGCTTTCAATTAAAGATTTGCCTTTATATCATCATTGTTTGGAAAGATTTTGTGTTTTATTCTAGGCAACAAGCTAAGTAAGTTTGCCAAATCAGTTTTTAAAAACAAGCCGTTTTTAAAAATTTCCTTCTCTTCCAAATCTATAAAAATGTATTATTTTCATTTTTTATTGAACTGGAAATAAAAAAAAAAATCTTACAAATATTTTTACCTTCTTTTATTTATGTTTTTAGACATTCTGAAAACTAATCAGAAGAGTTAATAAAAAAGGAAACATAACCTCAGCATTTCAGAATAATAGAATAGCTCTAGAAATTAGAAACTGAGCTCTAGTCAGGCCAAATTCATCTCTTCTGAAGTATTTTTGCCTTAAAAAAAAAGCACTATTCATTTTTAAAATTCCTGAAATCTTTCAGAGATGAAAGTTAGAATTCCAGAATTTAATAAATCAGTATTGTTGAATTATATATTTGATATATCATGGCTTAAAAGGCTTGATTTAATAAACAGCAGCTACTACTGCTGACAACTTGAAAAATATTTCTCAGATGTTTTTTAAGTCAATTTAATTATTTTTTTTTTTCAAACCTTACCATTCAGTTCCCCAAATCAGGAAAACCTTGTAAGTAAAACAAATAAATAAGCGAGATGAATGAATTAATCCTAGGCTGCAGCAAAAAGAGCAGGTCAAGGGAGGGGATTCTGCCCTTCTACTCTGTTCTTGTGAGACCCCAACTGGAGCTCTGCATTCAGCAAAAAATCCTCATCATGGAAGGGACATTGACCTGTTAGAGACTGTCTAGAGGAAAGCTACAGTAATGGTCAGGGGAATGGAACACCTCTCCCATGAGGGCAGGATGAGACAGCTGGGGTTGCTCAAACTGGAGAAGAGCTCCAGGGAGATCTTCCAGCATTTGGAAGGCTTCTATTGGAAAGTAGAATTATCTATAGTTGTGACTGAAGGTCTTGGAGATTCATTATGGAAATTCCTTCTAGTACCTAAAGGGGAGCCTTCAAGAAAGATGGACGCAGAATTTTCAGCAGGACCTGTTGCAACAGGAGAGGAAGTAATGGTTTTAAACTGAAAAGGGTCAATTTAGATCAGATGTAAGGATGAAGGTTTTTTAAAATGAGGGTGGAGAAACACTGGAACAGATTGCCCAGACAGGTGGTAGATGACCAGTCTTAGAAACTTTAAAGGTCAGATTGGGCGAGGTTCTGCGCAACTTGATCTGGTGGAAGATATCCCTGCTTTTCATATGGGTTTTGGACTGGATGGCCTTTAAAGGTTCCTTTTAACCCAAACCTTTCTATGATTCTATGTGCTCAACAGATAGATGTGCATGTGTCTGCATACTGTAATTAAAACTTAATATGTGATCAGGTGGTTATTTTCCTCAAATGCATTCAGATAATGACCTGGATTATAGAGAAACTTGTAACAATTTTTATAGGCATTTATTTCATGTCATCTCAAGTACTTGATTTCAGTTTTAGGAAAGAAATACTAATTAATTTTATTTGATAATTTTTTTTGTATTTTTTTCACAAAGCTGTATTTTCAGTTTCCTATCCTAGCCTCAATTGTTTGACCGTTTCAATATTGCATGATAAGGAGTTAATCAATTACATTTAAAATTAAAAATAATTTATACAGAATGTTATGTTGTTCCACATTTTGTGAAATATTTTTCAGGGAAAAAAAAAATAAGACGATTCCTATTTCATTAATTTCTCTTTATCAAGGAAGTGTAATGAAATTGAATGTGACTATAAAAATTTTGTACCTCTGCCAATGAGATACTAAGAAAACAATAATCTAGTGAAGGGGAAGAGGAAGGGAAATGAATACAAGCTCATAGCTGCAAAATCAGGTGTATAACATGATCTTTAAAAATTTAAGACAAATAAAAGAAGATACATATCTAGAGTGTAATACTAATTTTTTTATTAATTTTTCAAATTCTAATTTTTATCAGCAAGAAAGCTGATAGTAGGTCTTCAGTATAAACAATCCTATTAAAGATCACAGATGAATTTTCATCATATTTTGAGCAAAAACGGTCACTGTTAAGTAATAACTTTAAAATACTCAGAAAACCATACAGACGGTTCATGTTATCTCTATTTACAAACCTAAAAATTTTATTTCATTAACTGCTGTAAGGTACTCCAGATTTTCATCTCCCATTTCATTCCCTTGGAATCTCCTTGGCATGCTTTCCGTTTTCTTTCCTGCAGGACACAGAGACCTACAGCGTCTAAAACTTAGTTAATACATTCACAGCACGTCTACAGCTGTGCAACCACATTGTGGTCTGTCCTATGGGACAGCCCCAAGACCCTAGAGTGTACATATGATTAGAGAGGTTTTTCTGGCCAGAAGGAAACACCAGCTCAGGTGCTGCAATGCCCACAACACTGTGGTTTGGGGATTCTTTATGTTTTTTGGTTTGGTTGTTTAGTTGGATTTTTTTGTTATTGTTTTGGTTATGGTTTTTGGTTGGTTGGTTGGTTTTTTTGTTTGATTAATTGGGTTCTGTTGGTTTTACTTTGTTTGAGATATTTTTTTCTGTCTCAGTTTTAAACTTACTAACATTTCCTGATCTAAATCAGTGCACTTTAAACAGCTTGGTTCGCATGTTACTCCTAATGAAACAGAGTTTTACACATCACTGCAATACAGTGAACTCAGAATGAGAGGCTTCTTTGCACCCTATTTCATTCTGCCTTACATACTGAAAGCCATATTACAAAGAATAAATGCTGAGCTTAAGACGATCTTCCAGAAGAGACACTGGTGTTACAGTGTATTTGGCATTTACAGAAACAAAGAATTTTAAAAAGCATTCCTTGTACTTCAAAAATATTCACTGAACTCCAGCAATACTGCCAGCCAGAAAGCCCACATTCCCAGGGATACTGGGGTTGGAAAATATGTGCCCAGTGCATCATTTCAGGGTACCAACACCTTTGAAATCTGGAACACCCATGGAGACCGGGAGCTCAACAGCAACACCAAGATTCAGCTTAGAATTAGGGTTCAGCCAGCCGCAGAGCCTACAGCTCCAGGGTCACTGGTACTAGAAAAGGAATGCCACAAGGATCACAGCAGGGCACCAACAATGCTGCATCCATGTTATTCCATTCTAGGCCACTCACTGTTACAGGGACCTCACCCACAGCGTCATAATTCCATTATGGTTAGGATTAGTTAGGGTTCAGAGGGTCACTGAGCCTACACCTCCAGCGACAGCAGGGCTGAAATACACATTCAGAAAAATAGTGAAAGGACACCAGCATTGCTGCATCCACACCTTTCTAATCTGGAAATCCTCTGGTGATAGGGAACTTGGAACAGAGCCCAGACTTATTTATGGTTAGGATTATGGTTTTGACAGCCAGAAATTCCACAATCCCAGGGAAACTGGGGCTTGAAAATGTATGCCCAGTGTGTCACTTCATGTCACCAACATTGCTGCCTTCACACCTTTCAAATCTAGGACACCCACAGAGACTGGGAGCTCAACAGTATCTCCTTAGGGTTAGGTTAGGGTTCAGCTCCTGGGATACTGCTACTGGAAAAGACATGCCAAGAGAATCACACCAGGACATCTACATGACTGCCTCAACACTTATCCTGGCCACCCAAAGTGATGGGGACCTCAGGCGTAGCACCAAGGTTCTATTCTGCTTAGGGTTAGGGGTCAAAGAGCCAGAGAACCTGCAACCACACAGCTTTTTCTGTTCCAAGCCCATCCAGCCACTGCAAACTTTTGTCCTTGGCTTCTGTATCTCACTATGGCATTCCAGTTTAATTCCACCTATTTTGAACTGCTTGATATTTATATGTATGAGAAGGAACTCCCTTCTCATATATGTAAGTACCTGGAAACTCATAATCACATTCATATAGGTCTTGTCCACTCAGTTTTGACATCCCACCATACCCCTCTTCTCAGCGTAAGTGAGCAAATTAAACCACAGCTGATTACTAAGTATCATACCCTCAAATGATTTCATGAATATCAGCACATTGATCCATTCACCTAATCTATCAAAATAAATAATTAGGACATGATGAATTGAAAGCAGCCAAATCAATGGAGTTAAAAAAAGAAAGGACACTGTCTTTTCAATGTCTTTCTTAAACTGCTGAGAGCAGAAAAGTTTATTGTGTGAAGTGGCTGCTGCTTGTTTACCAATTGAGATGCCTGGTTTTGGGTCCACTGGAATGCATGCAAACCCAATTATTGGCCTTTTCCCCCAATGTCACCTGAAATTAAACTTGAATAGAGTTAATAACATGCTTTTATTACAGATCTAAAAGGAAAACGTTATTTTCAGTGCCTCACTGTCCAGTTTACTTGGGACTGAACAGTTTCATGCTGCTGAAGCTTCTTGTGCAGTCTTGACTAGCGTGAATATGTCTTCATATGCAAAAGACAGGAAAAACTGGTGAATCCCATTCAGCCCACTGCAATTGCAAGTAAAAAAAGGAAAGAGATTTAATCCAAATGGGTCTACAGAATATTGAAGTCAAATGCTATCACATACCACAGCCAAAGAAAGCATAGCATCTCTGGGATAATCTACCCAAGATTTCAGCCTCAGTCATTTTGTACATACAGTGTCTTAAATTACAGGGACAGTCCTTGCCTAATCCTCTTTTTCTGTGTATTAATTCTAAAGCCTACCTTAGGCTTCCCTTCAAAGTATTAGGAGTCTCTAAAATTGTGGAAAGAGTGAACAGAGAAAATCTTCTCAAGATCAATCCATCTGTTCTCCATACTGATCAGTGTACAGATAGGAGGCATGAGAGTCAGAGGAAGGTGGCCTGAAAAGAGGGCCCATGTGGTTTATTTCCCATTTTTTGTTTTAGAGAAGTATATGAATTCTTCAATCAGGGAAGCTGGAGAAGGATTAATTTAATAAAACTAGTGTTGAATAATATCTGTTCTGAAATGTCTCTCATATTACCAATTTATTTACCATGTTGTCATGGACGACCCTGACACCAGACTCCTCTGCAGCCATGCGATTCATGCAATCAGTAAAATCAGTAAAAAATCAGAATCAGTAAAAACCTGATACTGTAGTTGTTGGATTAGTGCCTCTTGTGAAATAACTAAACAATTCAATTGAGTAATTGATTGTCTTCAAAGTGTAAAGATCCAGTTGAATGTAAAGATTTTGTTCTTATTATATTTATCTGATCCTCTTTAACTTAGCAGCTCAGTGATCTGTTTAGTTATTAAACTCACATATTGAAGCGCATAAATGTTTACCTTTTTAGATTTCTGAGGCAAGACTGACTAATATTTTTCATTGAGCTAATCAGAACTTTAAACCATCCCTAGCCAATTTAATAGTAAGAACCAAAACTTCACATTAAATGTAAACATTAATCAATTTTATGGTAATAAAGTCTTACCAGTAAATTGGCACTTAAGGTTTTTATTTCATTTACTCTGTCTGTGATTATATTGTGTATATTCAGACTATGGAGATATAAAATAAACCTATGAATTCCTAATCATATGAATAAAAGTCTCTGCATTAGTATAACATATCAGCATTCAAAGCCAACCACAAAATGTCCCATTCTGATGTCTAAAGATCTTGAAACTCCACTTCCCCTGTAATGCAATTACAGAAAATCACACATACTCAGAAGAAAGCAAATACTAGGATCCCGACTCCAAAAAGCTCTTAAGTACCTGACTTCAAGTAAATTAAGCAGGTATTAGGTATTTGCATACATTTGTGGTTCTAGGACTAAACTGCTCTCAATTTTATTCTGCCAATGAAATTGACAGTAACAGTGTGTTCAGAGCCCTGTACCATAATTACAGCTATTGTCACAAGAAAAATTTCTGCCAAAAAGTAGGTCCTGAATTTTACCAATGGGATTAGTCATGAAGAGAGAGAAAAAAGAGCAAGATCAGAAGACAATTTTTGAACCATCTGATAAAGCTGGCAGGAGTATGAGAAGGGAGAAGGACAGATGAAAGTGCCACCACTTTGTTACTCTCAGCACCCACAAGAAACCTGGTGTACTTGGCTGCAACAAATGTCTCGGCCCATCCTGATTTTCCACCTCCCCTTCCTACTCAGCAGCCTGCCAGGCACTGCAGGATAGCTGCTGAGGGAAAAACAGAAAGAGGCAGTGGTTTAGCAGGATGGTTGAAAAGATACAACTGCTTCCACAAGAGCCAAGGCTTTTCTGGGGAATGAGGATATGCTGCTGCTTGTACAGCTAGACTGTCACTGCTGGAAATAAAGCAGTTTCTGTTTTCATTGAAAGGCATGCTCTACCCTGGCCAAGGGATCCAGTCACTCAACCCAGCCACTCTATCCCTGCAGAAGTAACACAGACTGACACAGGAAGGATAAATGGGAATGGTGTTACCATCCAGGCATATATTTGTGGTGAATTGAACGAAGAATGAACTTTCAGTTGCAAAGAGACAGAAAGCTATTGAAGACAAAAGTTAACAAACCAAATTTCCATTAGCACAATATAGCACACACTTGAAAGTTCTGACTTTTTGACTTTTTGATTTTATGTACAGTGGTCAGCTGGAAACAAGACAATGTCATGTTGCTGCACCTCCATTTAGAGCTCCCAGCTTTAGAGAGATTTTATATCTGTGATCCCACCTGCCTACCTACATTGGTAATTTTGTGCATTTTTCACTAAAATCATCTGCCTTATTAAATTAAGTAAGAGGTTAAATTTGAGGTTGGCAGCTTGGGGTTCTAAAGACATCAGCTATCACATATTCCTTTTGTTCCATGCTGACCTGGTGAATTACCTCGTAATCACATTTTTTTCAAACACTTAAACCACAAGGAAAAAAATCTGTCCTCACCATCAATAAAGGCAGCTAATGGTGACAAATTAGTCAATGTGGCAAGTACAAGACTCTCAGAGAATTGTTCTATTTTATGCCTCTTCCTAGCACAAAGCTATTATGTTCCAATCTACAACTCCATTGATGGCTATTATAAAAAACACCCTCATGCAACTCATCATACTGTAACAGCTTAACAGTGCCTTAAATACCTTATTTTTAAAGATTTTTTTTTGTTGGATTGTTCCCTGGATCAACTTTGAAAACATGAGTAAGAGTTATCAGCATTTCATATTACTAACCTTGAGTGTGTCCCATAAAAAGAAAAAAACCCAGACACCTATATTTGGCTTGGCTTTTAGAATTTCAGTTTATGAGTGTTCTTCCACTCATTAAAAGAGACAAGTAAATAAAAATATGCCCCCCTTCCCCTGCCACAACTTTCTGAACTCAGTGTTCTATCCTATTAGTGTGGAAGTGTGCTAACTCCATAACTCACCATTGCTGTTTATTTACAGTGATCTAATGAATTCAAGCAAATATATGCATTGTCATTTTCAGGATTCTTCTCTCAAACAGACTTGTTTCTGCAGAACTTCGATGTTTTAGCCTCAGGCCACATGCTGTATGTCATTGACAATAAAATTTTATCTTTTCCTTTTGACAGGTAAGGCAGTATTGGCACAGTACTATGGAGGGAAAAAAGTTAATGTTATGGTTGAAAAATACAAATTCTGTATGTGTAACTGTAGGAGCTTTAATATGTTACATAACCATTTGACAACCACAACAAATCTAAGCAGATATGGTTTCAAACATTTCTGAAGTAATTTACACATTAATAATAGATTACACTTATTTAAGCTTTCATAATAAAACCCCTCCTCATTGGAATCTATTGTGCCATATAATTACAAACAATAGTCTTGTTTATAAAGACTTACAAGAATTTACACTTGCTATTATTTAATATCATGTGTGTATCTCAAAACAAATTAACATATCTAACATGACATATCAGTTTAGTGACTGTCAATCATACAGTGATGGATTCATTCATATGAAAGTTTACTTTTATTATTGTCAACACTTATTTTAGGACATGCTTTCTCCAGTAATTGTACTACATAATATTATTTCTAATGAAGTTGAACATTTGTTTATGTGATCTTGTCCATCTCCAAGCCTTAATATTGTTTCTAACTAGAAGTATGAGGAACATTCAAGGCTGCAATTAATAATTATCTAAATTGTTCACAAAGTCTATCATCTACATTGCTGTTATGCAAATATCAGGGAGAATATTTCTTAAAGCTGGTCAAGAGTACAGTAAAATATTCAACCACATACAGAGGACAATATAAAAACTTGAAAAACTAATTGTTTTGAATGTTGTGAACTTCTGCAGACAGAGAATTAGATAATTATTTAAGTGGTATTTATTTAATTATCTGAGATCTTAGCTTCAGCTGATTTAAAACACATTTAAAAATCAGATCTGGATCCTCTTTTTAAGTTTTTTCAGGGAGAGAGATTTTTTTATCCTGGTGAGAGCTGTCATAGATATGGACACACTAATACTATTCAAATAAAACTCCAGAGAATACATACAATGACCTCCTGCTAATAAGTGTAGCATAATTGCATTTGTTTTGAAGTTCTTTTGTGTTAATTATTATAACATTATGAAACTGAGCCCAGGGAATGATTATTCAGGCATTTTTATCACTGACAGCTGGATGCTAATGTGGATTATTTTTATACTGCCCGACTGTATTTCAACAAATTAAGCTACAACTGTGTCCGCATTTTGAATAACTTTATAAAATAGTTGTCCTTTTCCATTGTTTTTTTTTTCTTATGTTGCCCAGAGACAAATATTACCATACTCTTAAAGAAGTTCCAACGTGAATAAGACAATGAAGGTGCAAAAATTTTCATCAAACTAACTTTCATTGTATGCACTTGGTAAACTATTAACTTTCACATCTTTATCCATCTGTAAAGGCATCTATTAATTTGCACTCAACATTTTCATATCCTGAAATGACAAAAAATACTTAAAGGCAAAGCCTACAGATTTGATCCTGTAAATATTTATGTGCTTAACTATGGAGAATGGAGTTAAAAATCATTATAAGTTATATTGTTCGGTTCTTATTCTGAAGAAGTAGAATTTAGTTTTCTATAAATCTTTTATTACTTTTTTGAAAGCATAATTTTAACTTAACTAAAATCTTCCAACACTGGAGAAGAGCCTGTACTTTCTATACAGCAACAGAAGCACAGACTTCATTGCAGATCAAATATCCACAAATTTACACAGCTCTTCATCTTTGAATTTCAACATTACCTTGTTGTTTGCATTTGTTAAGGTCATTCAACTTTCACAGTATTATTTTTCATTCTTTTTTTCTTAAAATAGGTTCAAAAAATAGCAAGTCATTATATTTTTCTGCTGGCAGATTGTGATACATTGAGTGTAATCCAGAATTATATCAACTAGAACATTCTTTTGTGTAGAAATCTTAGAGGTGACTGCCATGTTATTTGGCAGAAAAAAAGAAAGAGCTCTGTTGTTTCAGCTCACGGATTGCCATCAAACATTACTTTATGGCTTGCTTCTGACAGACCAGGAGATTACAAACCTATGTAAAAACCAAGAAAATTATGAGCCTTGGGACCACTCACCAGTTTCCATGAATATATACCCGGGATTCATAGCTGGTAAAGAAATTGAGCATTCTGCTGGCTTCCCAGGTGACCAGAGATGTCTCCACAACTGAAGTTGAGTTGTTCTGACTCACTGGGAACCCAGCATAGGCAATGTCACTTATGGACTTCTTTCCTCCACCAGAATCTGCCTAATTTCTCCTGCTGGTGCAACTTTGAGGAAGGGCAATAGAAGAATAAATAATGGTGAAAGAGAAAGCAGACCTGTGCTTAAGCTTTGCAGCAAATAGTGTGAACATGCTACAGGAAGGATTAATGTCCAGAAGTCCTAGCTGTACCTTAATTCTGTTTCAGCATAACCTCTTTGTTCAGACAAACTGGCAATGGCAAGCTAGCTGAGTGATGTAGATTGGGGGATATTTAAGATCAGCTTTTCCAGAGGAACACACTTGTATTCTCTTCGGGTATTCCTCCATGTCTGCATGGATGTCCAAGCCTTGTTTAACTCTAGTTTTTTAGACAATCCATTCAAAAACCAATAATTTTCTTCTTTTAAGACAATGTTAAAAGCTGTAACATTATTATGTTGTTGCACCTAAGGCTGGACAGTAACATATCTACTGAATTCTTATAAATAAAATATATTAATGAAATAAACATGAAACCCCCACCAAATCCACAACTTTAAAAAAGTTAACACTTGTTCTTGTTTTTCTTTAATTCTAAAATGTGAATATACTATATTCATTACTGTATTGAGACTAAAAGCTTAATCAGTAGGTCGTTTGCACCAAAATTACATTTCTATCATTATATTATGCAGCCTTCAGTTGGGAAGAATTAACAAAAAATATGGACTAGAACAGTCTGGTGTGTACTCTTTAATACAGCTTCACAGCCTGAAGATGCATAAGTGTTTTTTCTGTCTGTAAAGAATTGTCTAAATGCTCCTAAATTCCAATGGAAACTCTGATAAGTTATCACAAAATTATGGACATTATCAATATTGTTACTTAGATGTAAGCACTACAATGGTTTCAATGCTTAACAAGAAATAAGACATGAAAAACAAAATTCTAACTCCAAAGCAAGACCTTCTTTTGAATTAATCATTTGCTTCTGAGACACATAACTGCAAAATCTGAACACAGTCATGAGGTACCACCTTCAACACTAGCACAAATTTATGAGACACTACTCATAACAAGTGCCACAAGAGAAGTGCCAGAAAATTCATGTTTCCAAAATGTCAATCTAAATCATAAAATGTAGAAAGGAGGGAAGAGAACATTCATGTGTGTCTATGATCAGTAAATAAGACAGATGATAATGCAGAGAAATACCATTTCATGAGCTTTAATAATTTTTCCTGCATATTTTCCATAAGTTATGTTTTGGTATAATTTTGTTTTGATGTTAGTTAGAAAACAAAAAGCGTAATTCCAAAGGAAATATTTTCAAAATTGTAAATGCATTTGTACTTTCTAGAAAAATAGAATTATTATTCTCTTTTCCCTTCCCTTGCCCTTTGTAACTTTATTTTGTCAGAGAAAGGCTCCATAAAACTTCATTTAAATTACAATTATTTTCATTCTCATTTCATCTGTAAGTCTCAGTGCAACCTCAAAATGGCTATGAGATTGACTATGCATTATATAGAATTTTTTATTATTTGACATTCTCCAAAGAATTTCCATGTGTAAATGGTCATAACAGAAATAGAAGCCTTTCATATATATATATATATATATATATATATATATATATATATGTGTGTGTGTAATTTTTCTTTTTAGGCCATGGAATTATTCAAAAGATTATATTAAACCATTATATTTATGATAGAAAATTTTATTTGGAGATTATATGAAGGATCCATCAGTGAGCTGTTGCTGTTTTGCATCTCTCTGACACAGTGAAGCAGCTGTAAATTCTCTGCACTGGTTGGATTTGCAGCTGCTTTTTGCTGCCATCGTGACACAAAGCAGCAAGGCCATCTTGGTGAATCTGGTCTGTAGCTGACATCCTTTAGATTACATATATATCTTTACACATCACTGCTCAGGACTTTGGAAATTTGATTTATAGACCATACAACCTAATGAGAAGAACAGGGCAGACAGACAGACAGAAAAGCTGGCTGGCTAGCTTTGTTAAGGGGTGATACAGATGCAGTTCAAAGCCTTTAGAACAGGCATTCCTCACGTATTTCTCAAGGATTTATTTATTGTGTATACAGTATTGTAGAGAGATATGATTTCTCATTGCCATGCTAAATCCTTGACTTCCAGAGCTTTAGATTAGAACTTGAGTAAATTAACAGCACGTTCTACTTTTTTCTGTGAGAAATATTGGTTTTTTTTCTTTTGCAGCCAGAACTTTTCTTCTGCTATGTGGATCAGTTTACATCTTATTTATTCCATCTGTTAAAAATGATAGCTTCCTCTGAATAAATCTAATCTGAGTACTCGGATTTTCATCTGTGTTGCTGTGCTCATTGAATTCAGAAGTATCAGCTTGCCCTAAGCATTTCAGAGCTCAGGAAAGGAAGGTGACCTGCTTCAGGCATTCACACAATGATTCAAAACCCACCAATCCTCTTTGATTACTTCCAGCCGTACCTTGAGTCCTGCTTGAAGCACTTCTGGGCTGTGTCAGGAAGAAGAGGCTATCCTTGTATGTCTCCAGAGTAAGCTGTACTACCCTCTCTAAGAGAGAAGAGAAAATGGTTTTCATGGTCTGTGTCAAGCAACTCAGTATAAAAGTCGGTCCATTTCCTTTTCTCAGAATTAATCAAAAGTCTTTTTAGTGGAGCCAGGAAAAATAAGAGATAACACTTATTTTAGTTCTTTAACTGCTTCTTTCTTGTACTTAAAACAATCTTTCAGAAATATCAACATGATGAGACTTATTCTGGCCTACTAAATATAGTAATGAAGTATTCCATACATAGCTATTACAGGTATACAAATAAAACTATTATTTGAAACCAGATAATACTTCTACATAATTACTTCTTTTTATATTTTTTGCTTGTGCTTTGAACAGCAGAACTGATTAATGCAGCAAAGAAAATTAAAAAATCACAAACACCAGCATCACCACCAAAAAAAAAAACCAACAATCCAAACCAAACTGATCAAAACAAAACAAAAAACCAAAACACTTAACTCATACTAGCTCTGCAGTATCTTTTTTTTATTATTATTTTATTCTATTTTTATGGAGCGGAGGATTGCTCTGTTCTTATAAAAGGAAAAGATCTATTCCAATGACAGCTATGAGTGTCTGAGCAACCACTGTATTTAGCACAGTGAAGCTACAAGATGGCCTTTGTTTGTTATGGATTATTATGCAAAATACTCTCTACAGTGAAGATAGGAATAATGGTCTTGTTTAGAGGCACTATTTACTATTTTCATGTAGAAGTTAACCAGTGATGTAAAGCCAGGGATTCTATGACTGGAAAATTACATTTTTTAATTCTGTTTAGGTTTTTCTACAGGGAATCAAGCAAATTATGCATATAGATTGATGTAGATAGAAATTTTTTTGAGTATCTATTGTCATGTTTTGACTCTCTTAGGGGTTAGTCTTTCCAATTTCCCAAAAAGCCACTTACAGATTCTTTATTCACTTGAAAGCTTAGTCTGGGTCTATTTATTCCCATAGTCAATTATTATGGCTAAAGATGGAGATGCATTAGGAAATAATCTTTCCATGTGGATAGATAAGTTTATTTTTAACATATGTGAAAATTTGATTTTATTTTGTTCTGTTGGCCTTGTAACATTGAACAAAATTCACTGAGTTACTTCATTTTCTGCTTAGGGGTGTTAATTTTACTGGTGTGATTTTTTGAAGTGGAAAGGAGTAATTGAGATGGTGGGATATGTGACCAATGATTGAGAAAAATCACCATAGTAGGAGCAATCAGGATTTTAGTTCAGTTCTGTATGATCTCTGGGTTAGAGTATTGCTATCAGCAGTATTTCTCATATATATTATGTCCTTGTGTTTCCAAAGACAGTATCAGTAATAATTCTTCCACATGAGAAAAGAATACGCATCTATTCCACTGATGAAATTCCAGCCCTTCTAATTCAGAGAGAAAATGCTTGTGCCTGAGCCAGTCATCCAAGGTTTCCTTAACAGTCAGGGAACAAAGGACATGCTAGATAGTCCATCAAAACTAATTTGGAGGAGAACGCCACATACACTTGTTTTTTTTTCTTAATTTCCTTCTCATCTATGGACTATAAATTTATAGAACTGAGGATATCTATTTTGAGTATATATATATATAAATCTAGACAGATAAATCCTTCACTTCGGTCTCTATCTGCTGATGAGGTTAGGCAAGTTGCCTAATTCTTAAGGTTCTCCCTGATAAGAAAAATACAGTGAAAAATAAGAAAGTGACAATCTTGTGGTTCTGAAAACACAACCTAAAGACAAACATGGACATGTAAGACACCAACCCAGTTACCAGCAGCAGAGACCAGAAGGCTACTTGGCCTTACAGAAGTGCTGGTCAAGAATAGCACCCTTTACATAAGATATGCACTCATACCCCATGACGTGAAGAATAACGTTTAAAGAACTACACATATACCATAAGCACCTTATGTATTTCTAACACAACCTGTTCAGCTGCTAGTAGTTATTAACCCTGATCACCTCCCACATGATAAAAACATTGCTACTTGACAAATTAAAATATGGCCCTTTGCTGAATCTCTAAAGAGGCACATCCTGTTGGGGTTAATTGAAGTTGTGAAAAATGGCAGGTTAACTACTTTGCACTGTCAGAAGCAGGCTATGGCAGAAAAAAAATTAAGGCTGAAACACAATCCTGCTCAAACAATATATTTCATACCTATCATACCTTGCTTTGCCCCGTCACTGAACACTTGACAAGAACTCAGGGCATTGGAACAGTTTTGATGTGACTGGATTTGTTAGAATAGTGTTGTTAGTTTACTGAATGGTATTTTTACAGAACAGTTTGACATTGAAGACAAATTGAAAATTAAGATTTTGCAAATTAAACTGAGATGTTTTCATCGGTAATCATCACACAGATTTATAAAAAAAAAATTAATAAAAAGAAAAGTTTCAGCTTGATAATTTCAAGTTCAGGCAGTTAACTTAGATGTTTGATTTAGCAGACCTCAGTAAAAACTTCCCAGCCTGAACTTTTGTCGAACTAACATGTAGCAGTTTAGGGAGATAATACCCTAATAATTCCCTCTGTGGGAAAGAGGAAGACACAGGGTTCTTTTTCTCTATCTGTGTCTCTTTTTTTTCTTTTTTTTTTAAGAGGGTATTTGCTCTTAAAAACTTATTTCTTTTCCTCATTAAAAAGCAGAAAAGTCTATAAAACAAAAGCAAGACAGAAAGACTTCCTCCTGACTGGACATGTTACATGTGAAGCTAAATATAGATTATCATTGAAGCAAGATAGTCAGCAAGTGTCTTTTGAGCAGCTTGTGGCTCTTAAGCAGTTCCAGTGCCTCCCCATGCTGAGAGAGCACCATGTGTCCGGCAGGAACGCTGCTGAAAAATCCCAGCCTCCAGCTGTGGGAGGAAGCAAGTCAGCCAACCCTGCCGAGGTCGGTGCTGCCCCATCACCCCAGGCTGTAAATGCTTGCTTGTGCAGATGCACCTCACACTGCACTGAGGACATTTTGAGTACCACAGCCAGACCTCATCACCTGAGCTCTCCCTTGACATCTCTTTTCAAATTGAATGCAGCATATCTGGGGATTGTCAGCCTAATGACTATAAGCAAATCTGAATGCACTGGAATTATAAAATACAACTGATCTTATATGATTTCTTTTAATTTTCTCTAATGAGAATAATTTCTTTTCTAATTACATCTGAAAGCAGCAAGAGTGCTAACACTACACAACAAAGCTCTTTCTATACTGTTAAGGCAGCTTTCCTTGAAAAGAGACTAAGGGATTTATTTTCTTAATTTCTCAAGTTAGTCAGAAAGCAGCTGCTCATGCTTGCAACACAAACAACTTTGAGAAAATATCACGGATATTTTCCTCTGAAGTTTTATGTGTAAATTTAAGTGCACTAATTCCTTAAAAAATTTGTTTAGGTTTATAGAAAATGACTAGTACTGCTGTAATTAAAAAATAATTTTGGTTTAATGGAACAAGGCTGTTTGTCTGTAACTTCTAAAAGGAATGAATACATAAAATATTTTACGAGGCTTCTAAATGCTTGATGATAGAGATTCAGCATGGTCTATTCTCATGCTGGATGGCCAGGAACAAGAGGCCTCTTTTATTGTTCTCTGTAAAACCAATGAAATGGAACCAATTGAAATATTGTGCACAGTCACAGGCACAGGATAATAGTGCTTTTCTGAATGGTAAGAACACAACAAAGTGCATCTCAAGAGCTTTGTTTGTATGGAGCAGACCTCTCCTCGGAATGGACTGTCTGAAGAGGCTTTGCTTAATGCACTGTTTAATAGCAGGGCTCTTCAAGGTCTCCCCACTCCATTATGGCATGTGCACTGCTGCTCCTTGGGTATGAGAACAGAAGCAAAACAACAGGGAAAAAAGACTGAGTTTACCTAACCCATATGACTTCCACTCATTTTCCAAAATGTGTAAGCATTAACAATGGAAAATATTAAATCCAACATTCACAACATATGAATTTATAGATATAGGAGAAAGGAAAACTTCTTCACATTAAAGGCTTTTTTACGTGGTGTAAATGATAGGATTTTCACTGTAAACTGAAATCACAGAAGCCTTGTGATGGTGAAGATGAGTGAAGTACAAATTTCAACGTAATGGAAATTCTTCTGCTACTGCTCCACAGTCAAAATGTATAAATAAATTTAATATAAAAAATTTTAATATAAAAATCTTTCCTACAGGAATTTGAACTCTTTTTGTTTGATTGAACTGTGTTCTTAAATGCCTTTGCAGGACCTGAGAGTGTAAATACCTCTAAAAATCATATGTGGGCATTGCTTATTTACACATTTTAAATACCTTTTACAAATAATATGGTATTTTGAAATGGTAAGCTCCACTAATTACACAAAAATGCGTATCATCTAGGAAGTACTGGTTTGTTTTTAATAAAGAATGACCAGGGCATGAGGTGAAGGAGACGCAGAGAAACATTGTTGTAAGAGGGAATTGTGTTTTGCTTCAAAGAGTCAGTCTGTTTTCACAAAGAAATCAGATTGTATTAGGGCATATGCATGTAAATTCTTTATGATGTCCAGTATGTAAATGCATTGAATCCTGAAGGCTTAGTTGTAAATAATTGCAAAAGAACACTGAGATCCCAGTCCAGCCTAATGGGGGATTGCAGCAACTAGTCAGTTGCTTCCACTTTCTGACAGAAAGAGCAGCTGAAAAATAAAAGACAAAAGATTAAAGACAAAAGAAAAGAACATATTGTACTAGTGCCATCGGACTAAATGGAATTGACTGCTAAGTTTAACTGATCAGAAAGTTGAAATTGTGGAGCAGTCGGTGTAATATACTGCTTTTCAAATTACTCAAGATCATTAGACTAGAAGTGCACTTTTATCTTCCACTGCAAAAGACCACTAGTATTTCTAATTAAATAATTACTCCCTAGCATCTATATTCAGAGTATATTGAAGAAAAAGCTGATGAATGTATTTGATATAAAAGTCCTCCAAAGACATGACTTACTTGTTATGAAAAGGATTTTACTGTCTCCTCCCATGATTATTTCTCATCTGAATAATGAAGAATGTATATTCTGAAATAATAAATGAAGAAATCCTTATCCATTTTCCCTACATGAGTGGATTTGGTACCATTCCTTATCTGTGATTAACAGGCTCTGTATCACTCCTCTGGATGCTGAGGTATGTATTACTCATCACCTCCCAACAGTCAGCAGAGAGGAGTAGCTGCCATCTTCCATGAGGCAGCACTAGGTTCAGTCTGCCTCACTCGATGAAACCTCCACTGGTGGTAGAGGGAGTAGGGAACTACACACTCTGTGTCAAATGGTTCTTTGTCTGGGTTCTTTGTCTTTCAAGGTTTTGTTTTTTTTTTCTTTTTTTCTTTTCTCACGTCCCCATCCCACGTGGAGATTTCTTGACTTCACTCGTATAACTGCTCAATTTCTTTTCTTCTGCTTATTATCTCTGCTTTCTGTCCTTTCAGAAAGTTTCATTTCAGGTGAAAAGGTTTCCTCCAGTCAGTTTTGCAGACAGACATTTCCCTTTTTCACATCGAAATTTCCTTCAAGTGAAGCGTTAGGGAAAATGTTTGTGTGCACCAAATTATTTCCATTTACTTATGCAGCAATCTTAGAAGCACATTAAATCCTTTTTTATAAAAGAAACTAGAATCCAACATAATACAAAGATAAAACTTAACAGTATCCCACCTTGAACAGAGATTTACTTTATCCTTGGCTATCATAACAATAATAGAGAAAATTTGGAACTGAGTTCAAGAAGCCAGAAGAATGGAAACTTAGACAATAGTATTTTTTCTTTGACTTTCTATAATAGATATTTGTATCTCTAAGACATTCTTTTGCATGTCTTCATTTATTAATTTCTAGGGTTTTTTAAAAAAGCTTCACACATGAGTTTTTTAATACAATTTTGTGCAGTAAAAAAAGTCATTGACATTTCAAAGGAAATATTCAATTCCAAAAAAATGTAGTTTTTTCCATTATACTTGCACACACATGGGCACAAACAGATTTTTTGGAGCCCACATTTATTATTGTAAATATGGTTAACATCTATTAGTTGCTCAAAAAATGAAGCTTTTGTATAAAGTGTTATGCAGAAACAGTATTTTTAACTTCAAATTGATTACAAAGAATGCTGAAGTCAACATTCATGAATACAAAACAACCTTGGGACCTGAAAGCATCATATGTACTCTACACTTAATATTGCTGTCAAAATTTTTACACAGCTCAGCTGTAGCCTCTACTTATGTTTTCTTAACAGACCAAAATATAAGGACTCAGCATAGATCAGGAAAATTAACTGCAATTAATTGCAAAGAAATTATTTTTCCTTCCCTACATATTCAGAGTTTTATTTGTTTTTCAATTTAAAGTTTGTGGTTTACCTATGATTGACTTTATGGCACAGCCCAGGGTTTAAAACTCTAACAAATCAAGGACTTCTGAAAACTAAGCTTTCTTGCTGTTGTTCCCTATCCCTTGGCCTTGTATTCTCTGTATTTTAGAATTCCCCATCTACTTCTGCTGCTCTTTTTCTGGCTCTTTTTCTGGCTAAAGATGCTAACTTCAAAAGAAAATAATAATAAACTGATTTTCACTTTTCTTTTTTTAATCCAAGATTAGCAGGCTGAATTGACAATTAAGAGCTGTTGGTATTCTTTCTCTTCTAATCTGTGGGTATTCTCCTGTTGGGTCTATTATACTCTCAGCCTTTGTTTTACTACTTGATACTGTTAGCAAATGTCAGTGTTCATCAATATCACAGTTTGTTTTACTGCAGGAAATGCTTTCAATTGAATAGAAATGAAAGGTGAAATGCCATTAGATAAACAGTGCTAAGCACTGAGACTCAGTTCCTCAGAATGATGTTTTTATGATTATTCTGTGGCTCCCGAAGACTACCCTTTCTTGATAGACAGATAAAGTGAAAATTTTAATACACTGTCATGAATCATCTCCCTAGTACTTGCTTCACTTATCCTCCTACAGGAGAGAGAAAGCATGCTGAAAAAAACAACCAAACAAACAACATTCCCATAATACATATAATCATCCACAGACAAATTTTCTGCTTCTTGAAATTGGTAGAAGTTCTGCAGCAAAAGTACGGGTAGGAGTAGCACCTTGCCAGTTATGTATAGTGTGTACTGCACCACTCATCCTGACCTGAACAATGTAATGGGGAAGAGGAAAGGGGAAAGGGGAAAGGGGAAAGGGGAAAGGGGAAAGGG